GGCTCTAGGCACGTGGGCTTCAGTAGTTGTGGCGCACAGACTTAGTTGCTTCGCGGCATGTGGGACCAGGGCTCGAACCCGTGTCCCCTGCATTGGCAGGCGGATTCTTAACCACTGCGCCACCAGGGAAGCCCTCGAGTTATAATTCTTAACTTTATCCATTGAAGCAGAGATCAAAGCCTAGTGCTTATTTACCCCAAGCATCTCTAAAAAAAAAAAAAAAAAAAAAATTTAAGCCCCATAAAAAGCAACTTACCCAGTTTTTGTATGTTGATTTTTTTTAGGACTTTGTTTAGAGAAGTTGCCTATTTCTTCTTCTACCAGTAATCTCTATGTGGATCGGGAACAGGATGTCATCACCTGTTATGAGAAGGCAGGGGACATTGCACTCCTGTACCTCCAAGAGATAGAAAGGGTAAGTGAGGACCATGTGTTCGTTCAGTTGATAATTTTTTTAAATTTCAAATCAGATCTCACAGAACTGTGGTCAGCCTCTGGAAGCCTTCAGCTTGTCTGTCTCTGGGTGCAAAGCTTTGCTTCTGTTCTTTAATGCTCTGGAGAATATGGTGGTAAATGTGGCACCTTGTGAAAATAGATGGGTCAGTGTTTGGGAAGCATTTTAACATCCTCTGAGCTGAAATGACACTATGCATCTATTTATACCCTCAGTGCCCCAAAGCTGGCTAATCATTCCTGTTCTCATAGGCGAAACAGGTTGAGCTTCCTTTGTACTTGCGTGGATTATGTACCAACATAGGGTACATCTGGAGTTTGGGAGTCTTTACCTCAATGGTCATGCCAAAGGGCTGCTGGGGACTCTCAACCAGCCTGCTTGGAGCAGGCTGTGTATCCTTGAGACCATCTGGGATGGTTTTCTTCCAGCAGTCAGTGGTTTGCCTCTGCTGTGGGGAATGAAACCAGAAGCTGATCAGAGGGCCATCTGAGGAGAGAACGAGTGAGCAAGGGACCCTGAGCTCACACCCTCAGACAGAGGACGTTGAAGGCTGGATGAGGCTGGGGAGGTGTGGGCAACATGTCTGTTTAGAAGGATCGCTGTCTTTGGCTCTGCTCTTTACTAAGTTACCTCCTTCACTTCTCAGCGTTAATTTTCCTATCTGTAAAAGGAGCATAATAATGGTTCCTACTTCATGGAGTTCTTGTGGGGATTGTAAAAGGTCGTTTAAATAAAGGCATTTAGCCCAGATTCAGAAACGAATTGGATTCTTGGTAATTGACACTTATTTTTACTGAAAACAATAGCGCCTAGTCAAGTCCGCCCCTTGCAGAGCTTCCTGGTGTGCTAACCAAGGCTCGATCCTGATATTTCCCCTTTCGGACCCAGAGGTGCATCCTGTGAGATTGTTTGAAATGAGTAGAAGTTCTGTGAGACTTTTTGAAAATGGTCAGGATCTTGTTTCCCATCAACTCATGGGTTCTCTGTTTCCTTAAGGGTTAGAGTAGAGAGGGACTACCAAAGTCTTGATAGTTTTTGTTATTTTGTAAGTGTACAGACTGGAAGTAATTTCTTTCATAGAAATCTTTTTGTAGTGTGTTGATGTGGGTGGCAAGGATCAGAATTACCTTTCAAGAGCAGGGAGAGTAGGGTGAGAGCCACAGAGAAGAGGGGGAGAGGATGATGGGAATGGTGTCTGGCCTGGCCCACACCAGAATGGATTATACATCATGGTTCGCGATATCCAGGAATTCAGGAATATATTTGGCTGTCTTGCCAAAATCTTGTTCTGTAAGAAGTCTGCTATGAGAAAGGAGTTATTTGTTATTCAGAATTGATGGTACGATCTTTAGAGAAATGATCATGCAGCTTGATTTTAAAATCTGCATGATTTTCTTTGTCTACCTCCCTGATGGCCAGTGCTGGGCAGCTGAGAAATCTGCTTATGCCAGCTAAGCTGTTCTTGTGGACCCCACAGTCCTTGCCACTTAGAGGACCTTATTTTGCATTTTACTTTCTGTTGTCACGCTGGGGCCGCCTTCTCCTGGCTGGGAGAAAGGAGGTTCATCTGTTATGTGTGTCTTTAATGATGTGGGAATTGGCAGCTCTGGATGTACTTCCTGTTGTGTTCCTTTATAACCACCTATTCACCACTGGGTTCTTTAGCCAGACCAGAAAGGAGACTCTCATAATCATAGGATTTAAAATAAATATTTTTCGTGGTTTTGAGAAAACAGTGATCATAGGATGTTAGATTTTGAGAAAAAAATGGAGGCCCAGAAAGGGAGACTCCCAAGGACACACAGGAAGTTAGGGCCAATATCAAAGATTAGAACTCAGCTCTTCTGACACCTAGTTCAGCATCACTTACTTCATTATCCCAGGCCGCTGCCAGTAAATGTAGAACCCCGTAGTTTCTTACACCCTTATATATAGAAAGTGCTCAATAAGTATTTGACCAAGCAAGCCATAGCTCTTAGTAGTGTGGGGAAGCAGCCTCACTCAGTGTATGGTTCAATTTCAGGGTATATATTAGACGACTTTCACATTTCTGGCTCTGATTTTCCAGTCTGAGTTTTCCTTCATGGGAAACCACTTTGGGTCTCCCCAGATCCAGGAAGCTGGGATATTAGCAATGAGAGAGATTGAATGAATGAAACATCTGTTTTGACTGTAGTAGATGCTCAATAAATTATCTGTGACTAATTAGAAGTCTAGGGGGAAAATGACCTTCCTTAAGTGACCACTGGGCTTGGTGGAAGTTCAGGGGTTTTTATGAGGCAAGACAGTGGTGCCATGCAGAGGAAGATACCTGTTTGACCTTTTTTTTCTTCCTTTAACTTAAATGACTTTTAAGAATTATGCTAAATTGAAAACAAATGTTAGGAAAATAAAATCTGAAGGAAGCAAAAGACTGGGGCAAGCTTAGGTAAATAGTGCTTTGCTTCTCTGGGTAGGTAGCCCTTTAAGTAGAAAACCCCACACACTCTGTTCCTGTGTTTGTTCTGCTGGGCAAAGACAGTCTTTCAGTGGTTTTTCCCCTCATTTCCCAGCCATTCTAAAGCGAAGAAACTTCTGTTTGCCGGGACCTTTTGGCATTTTATTTATGTGTTGCCTCTAATGTCATTCACTAGCAAGGATAAAATTTGAGGAGAACTTTTGAGCACAGTTTGGAGTATTGTGGAAAATGTTTTTTCATAATCTGGAACCATCGATTTGTTTCTGATGCAGCCTCATTCCTCTTCTAGTTTCTCTAGGAGTAGGTATGTGTAGCAACGTTAGTGTTGTTTGTTTCCTGAAGGGCGGGGGCTCTTCAGAAAGGGGGCTGACCTTGGCTTCCCCTCCAGGCGGCTAAGTTAAGTTGGGAGAGGCAGCAGGGCCCAGGGGTTAAGTGACACCGAAGTTGGGATCCTGGCCTTGCCACCTTTTATCTGTGGAACATCAGGCACGTCACTCAACCTCTCTGTGCTGCCTCCGAACCTCAGCTGTAAAATAGCGATAATAATTGCTGTAAGGCTGATGTGAGCATAAATTGGGTTAACCCATTGTTGTTCCCAGTACATGTTCAGCACACATTAAATGTTCGTTTTATTGTCATTATCTGTTCCTGTGTCACCTGGCGGTGGAATCTTTCCTAACCTTCGAAGATTTCAGATATTTAGATGAAAATATGGAGTATTTTAGACATGCTGTTTTATTAAAAGTGTTAAATAATTTTAAAGAGATATTTATGGAGTAATTTTTTCAGGAGAATCTGTTTTTCCATTTCTTGCCTGGAAGCTAATGGAACAACATCTTGCCTAGAGTCCCCATATCATATCTGGGTTCTGAGTCTCTGTTCACCCTGGCTGTTTGACCTTTGGTCCAGTCGTTTATATCTGTGTGCTTCAGCTTTCCATTTTCATGGCGGGATTAATACTGCCTGACTTGTCTGGGGAAGAAAAGCAGTGAGCCCCCAGTGTTCCCCACCCAGTATGATAGGAGCTTTCCATGTACCGTTCTCCCTCCTTGTTCCAAACGGGGAGGCAGGGCCAAAGGAAATTTGAATACCTGAAAGCCGTGTGCATTGAATATTTGTTTAGTGTTGTCCTTGTTACATTAGGGTCACAGAGACGTCTGCTAATAATTTTCTCTGATAGTTTGTTCTCTGAAGGGGAATGAAAAATACCTCCAAAATTATGCATATAGAATAATTTAATCAAGTAAACCAAATTAGAATAGATGGACATGACATAGGTTGACCTTGATTAGTTTATCTTTGGATGGTGGCATTACACCAACAGTAAATAAAGTTATCTGCCCCACAAGAAGCTTCTAAAGGTGCAATGATAGGAATAAAGATGACTTCACCCTCGAATATCATAATATGAGCCCTGCTTTTGGCAAATGAAATTATCCTGTCTCTGTCCTTTGCATGCATCAGCCAGCCAGCTGGGTATGGCTTTCTTGAGCAGAAGCCATGCCAGGGTGGAACCTTACCTTCTGCTGACAGTTCATTCCTTTACACCCTATTTTAGAAAAGAAGTTAATGCTAAATTATGGGACACCCATAGATTTTTTTATGGGCTGTTTCAGCGTTAAAGTGTTAAGAAACAGCTGGTGCCCAAATGTTGCAGGGCCCAGCCTAGACTTCATCTGTTCATCGAGAGCTGTTCACTGGTCATCGTGGTCAGTCCTTGAGTGGATTCTGGCCTCCCCACAGGAGGAACTCGCAGTGGCACAGCTGAGACGTTGGATTCACAACTGGATTAGATTAAGGTTACTGTGTGTCTTGAGCTCAAACAAGATGTCCTAGGAAAAGTACTCAGGGCTACTGACACGGAAGGCAGGGTGTGACTCTGGAGGTCCATGTGGCTGTGCTTTTGGGTCTAAAACATGAGACCATGAAGAAAAGATGGACTCTCCCTTCTCTTATCCTTCCCAATCCCTGCCCTTTCAGTTAAGCCGGAGCAGCAGGTTATAGGTCACGGCTTAATGTAGTACATCTGAATAAACTGCTTCCTTAAAGAAATGTCAAGAAACTGACTGGCCAGTATGTTGCTCCGACTTTGAGGCTGCCATCTGACCGGCTGGGAAAGGAGGCTACAGCACACTTAAAGCTGAGTTAGAAAAGCCTGGAAACCAGAAAAGAACAGTAGCTTATTTTAATTTTTGTATGTTCTTGGTCAGTCTTTGCCCTCATAATTTTATAGAATTAAAGGGATCTATATCTGTCTTTTTTCACTCAACATTACATCAAAACTTCAAAGTGTTGTCATGGTTATGTAATATTTTATCAAGTGGATGGCCTCTATGATATAATTCACTTACAGTTGGGTATAGCCTGTTTTTATACTGCTCTGGTGCCAACTTCCTGCAGGTAGCTTTTCCCTGGTTTTGCTTTGTCTCCTAAGGGCAAATTCCCAGAAGTCGGGACATTTTTAACATTCTCTTTACTATATATTGTATCCAATTGCTTTCTA